GGGCTCAAGATAGGTGGAAAGAGTTGATTGGGAAGAAAAGTTAATTTTTTATTGTAAGGAGCAAACAATTTTGTCGAATCCAAAATTAGAATTAAAGTTTTAAGGACTAAAATGACTTGTTTTGAAAGTTAAGGGTATTTTAGGTAGTTTATATGATTGAATAGTGAAAAGGGTTATTTTGGAAAGGTTATGGTTGAATTTAGGTCATTTTCAATAATTTCCCTTTCCATCTTTCTCCTTAAACCCTTGAACCTCCCAGTTGCAAAACCGTCAGCTTCACTTTCAAAAAATGGCGATTTTCAAGATCAATAATCTATTCTTTGAAAAATTAGTAGTATCAAATCGGGGTTTGTCTACAGCGACGACGACAGCAATGGCTGTGACGCAACTCAAAAAGGCAAACTCCTTATTTAGCACCGTGTCAAAGCTCAGGATCACACCAGACTCCGAAACCAGCATTGCTAACACTCTTGACGACTGGGTGAATCAAGGCAAACCTGTAAAGAGGTTTGATATTATAAACCTCATCAACTATTTCCGCAATCGCACGAATTATAGGTCTGCCTTACAGGTATGCCGCCCCCCCCCCCGGCCCCTTCTTTTTAATCTCAATCAGTATAATTTAATTAATTTTTTACGTTTTATTTGATTATTGAAGGATTTTTTGCTATTTATTCAATATTGATCGTTTAATATTTGTGTATGCTTGAATGTGATTAAAATTTGGAGTCAATGCTAATTTGCCAAGAAACTTTAATGAATTCTTAAAATTTAATTGATTGTTTGGGGTTGATTTGATTTGATTATTAAGCTCGTGTATGGCTAAGCTTAAAAGGTTACTTAGTAAGAAATGGTTCAGTTTTAAAATAAAATGATTTTTATTAGTGAAAATTAGAAATAAATTACTTTGACACTAAATGTAATATTTCTTTCTTTATTTACAAGTACGAAAAAATTATCTAAACATGTTTGGGGGACAAAAAGTTATTTTACTTCGTTTTTAGGCTTAGCCAATCTCACTCCAAATGATTGAGTGTTGCTGTTCATCAAATGCAATCCCTACGTGCTTGCTTCTGAGTGTATTTTCTAGTAAATTATTATTATTATTTTTTTTCTTTTGCTAAGAATGATTTGCTCATTTTTATTCTTTTTCCTTATCCTTATCCTTTTTTTCTTTTCAGTATAGATGAGTGGACTAAAAAATTCATGTAGCAATTATTTTGTAGGGAATGGTTTATATGGGTATTTACTATATATTGGGCAATCTATGACTCATTAATACAAACCCGTTCAGTTTAGATAAAAATCAAATTTGTTGTAGATTTTGATAAAAATTAATGAAATGTATGGTTGAAAAGTTGATAAGAGTTGTGGGTCTCGTAAAATGTGTGGTTGAAATGAATTTTAGAAAATGGGGGCCAAATAGGGATAAAATGTACAAGTGAAGTTGACTACACGTAAACCTAAAAATTCTCCTTATATTTTAACCACACATTCTTCAAAAAACACTATTCCAAAATCTTTTTTTTTTCAAATAATTTTTTTTATAACTGTGGATGTACAGGATAACTTGCGCGCACCTTGACTAATCCCACGAAACCTTGAAGTTTACAGTCGGATACTCACCTCAATGGCCCTGAGGGGACTCAAACTGGTGATCATTGGGTAGCAAACCCAAAGCCTGACCAATTTTTGTTTTTCAAATAATGGAACTCAAACAAGGGCTTGAAGTGCAATCTTTCTAATTTTTAAATCTTCCAGTCCCACTGCATGTTGTATGGTTATTTTTAGATGTTTTCAAGGGCTAAGGGGAATTGAATTTGGTATTTAAGTGGATATTTGCTTAAATGTGCAGTCTTCCGCAATTTTTGGTGACCTTTGTGATGAATAATGTTTAACTTATATCTGTACATTAAAATAACTAATTTTTAGTATAAATAAATTTGGTTTTATTGAATTTATTGGGAACAAGGTTTAATGTGTCGTCATTGTATAGATTTGGTTTCATTTTGTTCAGAAAACATGAAGAAAATATCATTTATTTTAGGATAAATTTGCTACTTTACTGAATGTAAGGTACTTCAGATTAAGAGTTAACACATTCATTGTAATCAGAATTTGCAGTTCCCTATTTGGTGCACATTTTTTAGCCAAGAATGCATTTTTGTTTTTGATGTGATGAAGAATATGTGGTTGAAAAAGAAGGAAAAATTATTGATATGATAGAAAATATTATTTTATTGAAGAATGTGTGGTTGAAAATGAGTAGAAGAATGAGAATAAAAATTTTAATGTGTACCAAACAGAGGCTAAACGTTAGAAGAGTTCATCTTTATATTTAACACGNAGAGGTTTTTATTTTTTATGAATATAAATTAAGGGTGTGTTTGAGCCACATTATTTTGGAAGAATGTATTTTGGAATAGTAGATTGATGAAGAATGTGTGGTTGAAAAAGAAGGAAAAATTATTGATATGATAGAAAATATTATTTTATTGAAGAATATGTGGTTGAAAATGAGTAGAAGAATGAGAATGAAAAAAATAATGTGGTTCAAACAAGGGACTTTTAACGGAAGATCATAACTTGTGCCGACAATCATCCTATCAGTTTTTAGATGGTATTAAAAACATGCTAAGCTTAGTTTTCAGTGTTATTAATTTATTTCAAAACATTCAGCAAAACTATCACATTGTCCAAAAGTGGGTCACTGTTTAGGGAACAGGGGCTTTACAAGTTTGCCTCCAGTTTAAATTTCATGTGCTTATCAAATTTACACGCCCCTTTTTTCGATAATGTTTAGTTTTTCTTTACTTTAAATTTCTGTGATTTTAAGCTCTGCAGGATATATTGATCTTTTAAACTTTCTGGGCTAAATATTTTTTAACAGCATGTATTTTACTTGAATTACTTGATGTTTTGTCTTTGACATGTTACCTCAGGACACTGACTTGCAGTTTTTGGTCTTCTTCATCCAAATGCAGTTATCTAATTGGATGGAAAACAGTAAAATCGAAATGAACAATGCGGATCGTGCCATACGCATTGACCTCCTTGGCAAGATTGAGGGCTTAGATTCTGCAGAAAAATACTTCAACAGCCTTCAAGTTTCAGCAAAAAGCAATAAAACCTATGGAGCACTTCTTAACTGTTATTGCAAGGAGAAAATCTTAGATAGAGCTCTGGAGATCTTTGAGAAGATGAAGGTGTTGAGTTATACTTCTACTTTGAATTACAACAATATGCTGTCACTTCACTGGAATATGGACCGGCCGGACAAAGTTCTGTTGTTAGTGCAAGAAATGGAGGAGAAAAATATTGCTGCAGACATTTATACCTACAATCTGTTGATTAACAGTTATGCTTCTCTAAAAGACATAGATGCAATTGAAGGAGTTCTGGAGAAGATGAAAAGAAATAAAGTGAAATATGATTGGTTTACTTGTGGAAATCTAGCAACCATTTATGTACATTCTGGGTTATATGAAAAGGCCAATGCCGTTCTTGAAGAGATGGAGAAACTGAAAAATCAATCTGACAGTGAAGGACTCCAAAACCACCTCACCCATATCAAGTTGTATTCGCAGATGAATAATTTGCCGGGGGTTAACAGGGCATGGGAGTCTTTAAAGTCGACTTTCCCAACACCCAATAATCTTAGCTATCTTTTCATGCTTCAAGCTCTTTCCAAATTGGGGGATTTGGAAGCGCTCAAAAAGTGTTATAAGGAGTGGGAATCATCTTGTTCAAATTATGATTTCAGGTTACCAAATGTGATGCTAGAATTTTACCTTAGTCAGAATATGATTGAAGAAGCCACTGCAATCCATGAAAGTTTGGCGAATAGAGGGAAACCAAATTTAAGGACACTAAACTCGCTGACAAGTCTGTGCATGAAAAAAAGTGAGATAGATTTAGCTCTGAAGTATTTAGAGATGGGTGTAGCTGAAACGGTTTCAGAGAAACATCATTGGTTCCCCACGGATGACACAATTAAATTGTTTCTGAATTATTTTGAAGAGGAAACTGATGCAGATAGAGCTAAGAAGTTCATTGAGAGCTTGAAGAAGACCAGTCGTCTTGACTCCACTGTATACGATTCTTTGCTTTCCTCAAGTACATCAGCTTCCAATTCAGTAAACTAGTTTCTGTGACTAAGGGTTGAGCAATACGAGCTCCTTTCACCCCAAGTTACTTAACAAGTCTAGTGTTTATTGGTTCCATGTGTTAATGTATGTGCTTATATGCTGTTTTATGTTGCACAGAAAACCATAATCCAGAAAACCATAATCCCGTCATTTAACTAGCCAAGAAATTTATGATTACTCTTAGTTGACTTTTGATAAAATTTATTGTTGTTCTGAATTGTCTTTGGATTATACAGCTACCGTATATACCTGCTACAGGGGATGCTGTTTTTTCAATAATAGCCTTCCCATTGCCTGGCTGGCTTCCCCTCTCCATCACCATGGATGGGGTAAGAAAATGGCGATTACTGAACTTATTCGTATATTTTAATTGAGTGGTTAGATTTCATTTTGTCAGTGTTATTCTGTGTGGCTTTGAAATTATCCCACATAGAATAGAAACGACAGGTCACTCTTTTTCTTTTTTCTTGTCTATCTGTAGATGTCTTGAGTAAATTTCACTTGTTCATGCACGAGTAAAAAAAATGGAACCTCTTTCAGAAATGAGGCAGTTGTGCTCGTCCAAGCTCGACTAAGCTGCATCCATCCTTTGTGACTTGCTTGTGTTCGGGTGGTTCACTAGTATATGAACTGTCGTAGATTGTATTCAATTGCACAAAGGTTGCATCCCTCAGCAGAAGCATTCAGTTATATTCTTCAACTTGGACTTCCCTAAAATTTTGCCCCTTTGATCTGTTCATTCAATCTGAACAGAGAAAGCAGTTTAATGTAGATACTCATCGTGCAGCAAACTGCAATTTCGATCCTTAATTTTAACTTCTGGGTAACTTCTCTTACTACTACCCATTTTTAGGCATTAGTGAAATATTTAAATTAATTAAATATCCTCATTGAGTACTATAGTGCCTTTTCATTAAAATGTTCTCTTGGCAAAGTTGAAGAGATTCTCAACGATCTAATAATTTTTTGCCTATATGATCAAAGTATGGGACCAAAATTTTGAACCATGGAGTTGTTAGAAAAATGTTTTTAAATTTACAAATTTATGCTTGAGTTAATGACAAATTTAATCAAATTTATAAGTTGTCATCGCATTTGATTTATTTGAGTGACAAATCAAGGGAAGGTAATCATTCCTTGTGATGAGTTGGGTAAAGCTCGGACACCTAAGTCATAAAAAAGGGTAATTGGCGCAAAACATCCATACCTTTAAAGGTTTTTGTGGAAAACGTCATTACCTTTCGTTTTTTGGTGCAGAACATTCTTACCTTTCACATTCTTTGCGCTGAACGTCTTTTTCACCAATTTTTAACATAAAATGACCAATATACCCTCCTATATAAATAAAACAAAAAAGAAAAGAAAAATAAAAATAAATTGCAATATGCTCCTAAACTTTTTTAAAAATGCAAATCAATCCAAAACTTATGAAAATATTAAAAATAACAAAAACACACTCTCTTCTCCTCCACCTCC